TCCACAGTCTTCCTCCTTCTCCTCCTCTCCACAAACTCCCTTCCCTTCTAGCACTGATGATGTTACCTACTTGGGTCATGAAACATCTGCAAGAAAGCCACCAAGCTCTGAGAGCGCCAAGGACCCCTGGGTCCAATTTCTTCTTTTGAGGGAGCAACTGATTTAATTGCATTTAATTCTTTCACACAATTTTGCAGGTGAAAGAGTGCCTTTGTTTTTTAAATAGCCTTTTACTGCTCTTTTCGCCTACCGATTAAAAGATGATTTTTCACCCCTGCTGTTTACAAGCGCTTGTAAACATGGTCGCAACGGTTCAAACACCACATCTGCAAGCTATCTTAAGAGAGCTAGATTTACTGAGAAAGGCAGCGAAGAAGCTGGAAAGCGATGAAATGCATAAATACAAGCAACGAACCCTTCCCCTTTCCCCCCTCCAACCCCCGGCAATTAGAAAAGGAAAAAAAAATTGGATGCTACGAGTTAAAACAATAATCCACTCTCTAGACTACTCCGGTTGCCACTTGTAATGGAGAGAAAATCAAATTAATTCTACATGAAGGACAGCCCTATGCTTCCACCAAGTGTAATTCCAGTCCTCCAGAGCCTGCCTTACATGTTGCCAAATTATCCAATTACAAGCTTGTTCAAACCCATCTGGGGGAAGTTTGCCGTGGATCGTAAATCGATAATTTTAAAGGGATTATAATCCTTCCGGAAAACTGGAGAGGGGAAGCACCCACCCTATCCACCCGAGATAAAATGTCTGTCATGAAACGAAGGAGAAGACCCTCGAATTGTCTGTGGAAAGGAGGTACTTTATCAGACATGATGAGGGCCGAAGGAGACAGCTCCAATGGAGCCTTCTTCACTCTGATGGTTGAGACAGGCCCTTGGAGTCTCTGAGGAAAAATACCTCTGTAGTTTGAGTTTAAAAATGAATGCAGCCTATCCTGGAAAAACCCAGAACCATTTGCGTACCAGCTCTCCGTTTCCCCAAAGATGGAAGTAGGTATACAATAACTTTAATTTAATTTATTCATTGTATATTTAGACATGGCCCATCTCCCTCACCCGATGTTCTGACCGAGGCTTCGAGAGAGGATTGACAGTCACAGACCTTATCTGGCTTGGAGAGCTGCCAGGCCAATATCTGCAAAACTTGGCAAGGAGTCTCGGAGAATCACGAACCAATGAACCAATGAAGCAAACTAATGGTCTCCTACTCCCCTTTTGCCCCTCTTTTATTTCCTCTGGGAGGGGCCATTCATCGTCCACCTGTGGCCTTACTCCCAAGTCGACCTCTGTTCTTTAGCTCTTCCCTTCGTCTGGCAACTCTGCACATGCGCACACTGGGAACAGGCTCCAGCTGTTCCTCTGCCTCACTGATGTCTGACTCTGAAGGCAGCTGATAACTGGCATGAGCTCTGTCCCCCTCTCTGCCTCCGACACAGAGCCCTCGTCCGAACCTTCCCCAGACTCCAGGACTGGCCCATCTTCCTCCCCAACTTCCATCCTTCCGAGGTGGG